GTATACATATATATATATATAGGTTGTAGGCATACACAACTGTGTGTGTGTGTGCTTTTGTATACATGCATATCTACATCGGTCCAAATCATTATCACTTTAACCTGTATATATATATATACATGGGAGTGTATATAATATAGTACATAGACAGATATACATATATATATATATACATGCATCTAGTGACTCTGAACATATATAGTGAACATGTGCACATGTGTCTAGAGACACATAACATATCCACTGCACTGCCCTCGGCATTTGGACAGGCACGGATGGCCCCAGGATTTCAGATCCTCTTCGTGCCAGCAGGCCCCAACCCGCTGACATGGTCAAAACTCTTAAACCGGGATCCTACATCCACCAGGCCTCACTGGGAGGGTACCTCGTCGATCCAGCCGGCCAGACACTTGGCGACCTCGTACCTAGGCTTCGTTATCATCCGAATCGATTGCGGGCCCGGACTGCAGCTGTAAAACTCAAGAGGACCTAAGCCTTATCCTGCATTATGCTTCTGGGCTGCCCTGTGCTCTTATATATACAGCAGGGCTAAATTAACAGAGAGAGGCAGGAACTTGGCCTCTCCTTTGCTAAAGCAAACATTGGTGCCGCCTTGGTTGTTCACCTGAGTTCAGCATGCAAAGATTGTCTATGCATGTGTGTAGATGTAGGTCTATATATATCTCTATGCAGTATATATACAAATCTGTGTATGTATAAGCTATGTACATAAATATATACAGATAATATATACATATGTATATATATGTACACAGATAAATGTAGGAATGTCTACTCTATGTAAATATACATCTTAAACAATATAAGTCAGTAGACACAACGAACCAGAGCTATGTGTATACCTGTCAGTTGTGTGTTTACATATATCTATATATACATATACATGTATATATGTATACACACCAAGAGTCCCCGAGGCCGTACTTGGTCATGACCTCCTGAACCAGCTTGATCTCCGTCTTCGTGCTGTTGACATAGAACAACTGCTCCAAGGCTCTGATCGTGATGGAGGAGGCTCTCCGTGTCGCATCCGGGCAGCGGACCGTGAAGTTCCTGTTTAGAAGTTTCGCCATCTTGTGCTAAGTACACGAATACTGCAGTCTGTATATATAGTTGTATATATGTACACAAAACGAAGGTACCCTAGAGATCATCATGACATGCAGAGAGACACACGGAGACTTAGCAACATACTAATCCGAGCATGGTGCTTCCTCTGGCCGGTCAGGAAGTCCTCCAAGTCGGGGAGGACGAGGTCCACCTGCCGCAAGTTCTCGAAGCACTTTCTGATCTTCTCTTCCTGCCCAGAATTCAAGGGGAGGGTCTCCAGCTGAGAAGCTCAACATCTCCAACTGACAGGCCTCCGGAGCAGTGAGACTCGCTGCAGGCCGCTTCTTGCTCGCCCCGTCCTTGTCGACATTGTTCTTGTCCTTCGTCTGGTCCTCGTGGTCCTCGGCCTGTGCCTTGGCAGCGGCTTTCGCCTTGGGGGCCGAGCTTGCTGTGGCCTTTGCCTTGGCCTTTGCCTTGGCCTTTGCCTTGGCCTTTGCTTTGGCCTTTGCTTTGGCCTGGCCTTTGGCCTTTGCTTTGGCCTTTGCTTTGGCCTTTCCTTTGGCCTTTGCTTTGGCCTTGCCTTTGGCCTTGGCTTCCGCCTTCGCCGCCGCCTTTGCTTTGGCTTTGGCCTTCGCCTCGGCCCTGGCCTGCCGCTGCATTCCGAGCACGTGGTCCAGGTCTACATTCGGCGGCAGCATGTCGTTCGGCCCAAAACGGCTCACGTCCGGCATCTCGCCGGTCGGCACTCCGAGCGGCTTCAGGCAATCCTTCCTCTTCCGATCCGCCTCTGCCAAATTGGGT